ATTATTGGGGGTGAACTTAAAGGAAGAGGAAATTAAGGATTGGGCAGCTATGATTGGATGTTCAGTGGGATCTTTTCCCTCAGAATATTTGGGACTCCCTCTAGGTCCACATAGGAACTCTAACATTCTATGGGATCTAGTGGTTCAAAGCTTTAATAAGAGGTTAGCGGGCTGGAAAGGCTCATCTCTGTCACTGGCAGGCAGGCTAGTTCTAATTAAATCAGTTCTAAGCTCACTCCCTATATACTTTTTGTCAATGTTCAAGGTTCCAACTTCAGTTTACAAGACTCTAAATTCTATTTTGTCAATTTTTTATGGGGTGGTGGAGATGGGAAAAAGAATATCCATTGGGTAAGCTGGTCCGACGTTTGTAAACCAAAAATTGAAGGAGGCTTGGAGGTTCCTAATTTAAATGTGGTGAATAGGGCACTTTTGGAAAAGTGGGCTTGGAGGTTTGCTATTGAGAGGGAGGCGTTTGGAGGGAAATGCTCTGCATCAAATAAATTTGACCTTCCTTGATGCAGTTCGACAGTAAAGTTTCTCCTAAATTTCTTGGATGTGGAGAGATATGGTGAGTAATATTATAAAGTATTCGTTGGGTTGTAGTATCAGAGGTAAATAGCTATAAAATTGGGCAATGGGAGAACATTCGGTTTGGCAAGACAATTGGGCAATGGACATCATTTTGATGGTATGTTCCCTAGACTATTTTCATTGCAGTGATAAAGCAGGAAGATTATTTCAGTTTGGGGAGTTCAGTTCAGGGGTTGATTTGGAACGTTCAGCTGAGGAGAGAGTTGAATGACTGGGAATTGAGCAATGGGCGAATTTGATGGCTGTTATCTCTGATTTTTCTATTTCTGTTGATGCCGCTGATGGACTATTTTAGAAGGGGACTGGAGAAGGGGTTTTCACTGTGAAATCATGTGTCAATCTATCTTATTCGGGTTCCCCCGATTCGAGGAAGCTAAATTTTGGAAGTCTAATGTTTGGAGGGGTCTGTTGCCTCCAAGAGTAGAGACTTTTCTTTGGCAAGTTATCTTAAGAAGTTGGCAGTGAAGACAGCTCTGGTTAAGAGGTGTTCAGGGCATAAATGATACTTTGTGCTCTTTTTGTAATCTAGAAGAAGAGTCTTCATCGCATTTATTTTTTTCCTGTTCGGTGTTTGGCCAATTTGGATGAAATTCTTGGGTATTGGAATTTTCAGTCTGTTTTTCATGTAGATGCTAAAAGATTCCTATTGGCTTGGAATGACTTGAAGACCAACTCTCTTATCTGGTCATTATCCCTGGAGCTTTTTTATGGACAATTTGGAAAACCAGGAATTTATAGTGTTTTGAAGGAGGGAAGCTTGATCGAGCAGAGATTTTCTTTCTAGCAAGGTGCAGGCTTGCTTCATGGTTTCTAGCTAAGGAAACTCATATTACTTTCCAAGGATGATCTTTGCTGACCCTTCCTTAGTGGATTCCTACTCGTCCCATTCTAATCGGATTTCAACCATGTTTCCTGGTCCCTCCTCCAAAAGGTTTATTAAACTTAATGTGGATGGCTACTTCGAGTGATTGGAAGAGGAGTGGTTTAGGTGGTATTTTGAAAGACATGTCTGGTTCGATCTTGGCTCCTTCAAAGAGCATGCTGGTCCGAGGCCCCCAACTTTAATGGAATTGAAGGCTATCCTAAAGGGTTTAGATTTTTATGAATCTATTTGTCATAGGTTTAAAGATAGATTGATTATTGAGAGTGATAGTAAGGTGGCAGTTGGTTGGGTTAAGGATGTGGTCTCTTGTCCTGTTGTTTATGTTCAAATTGTTAAAGAGATTCAAAGCTTAGTGTTTATGAAGGTTTTATTAGTTGGGTTAGTAGGACAACCAATATAGAGGCGGATGTCCTAGCTAAGGCTGGTATTGGTTGAATTATGTTCTGTTAAGGGCTGTTTCTTCTTCTGGTTTGTATCTCTTAAGGGAGATTAGTTTGTATACTTTGTTATATTTGAGTTTAATGAAATCCTATGGCACTCTTTTCCTCCTTGTGTGGATTAAGGAGCTATTTTTAAGTTTCGTTAATCACGAAGGGGTTTTTATTGAGGCCTTCTATTCCTATAAAAAAAAGATATTTATCCCATTGAACTTTTCAATGTCAAATTTTGTTGTCATAGCTTCTATTATTGATAGCTCTCACTATTTCACTATCGTGAATAGTTCTCTAGAACCTCAAAGAATGGGTAATACCTTCTTATTTTATTATGTTGGAGGATCCACCTTTTGGTGGCAACCACAAAGACAATAAGCAGATATTACGCACTCAAATCTGGCTCTCATACCAATTTTTGCAGAAGACGGCTATCGGATAGAGCAAAATCGCAACTGATAATTTGAGAAAATAAAAATTGAAAATAAAAGAGACACAAAATTTACGTGGAAAACCCCTAAATATATAGGGTAAAACCACGGGCAACGGTAGAAGAATTTCACTATGAAAATAGAATTACAACCTCTCTCGATCCCAAGGAGAAAACAATGATAATTCTCTCTGATAAAAAAAAAAAACTCTCAAGAAACTCTCTAAATTCTCTCTAGTTTTGGAAGAAAGCTAGAATGCTTTGGGATGGTTTTGAAGCTAAATGAGCTAGGGTATTTATAGTTGAAACTTAAGGACTAATTTGTAAATACCCTAAATTACAATGACTAGATATGATTTTACCATAAATTAAAATAATATATTTTCTACACCTTTCGGTGCTCCCATTTGACAAAGCAATTGAATGATTTTCGGTGCCATGTGCACCCATGTGCACCGTTTTTCAACAAGAGTTTGATGGTATCTACGTTCTTGATACCTAGAAACCGCAATATATTGCCGTGAAGGTACCGTTACTCCTTTTGAATAACATTGTTGTTTGGGTCATCTTTCGCTTTCAATGTTTAAGAAATTTTGTCCTCAACTTTCTCATATTTCTTCTTCATATTGCAAGTCTTATCAAATTGTTAAAAGTCATCGTCTTAATTCTAATCATCGTGTCAATAGGCTAACTACTGCCCCCTTTGAGTTATTACATTATGCTGTTTGGGGCCCTGATCGACACAGGAGCAATAGTCTATTCATGTCAGAAGGAGCAACCAACAAGCTTGGCCTCAAGATCGAGAAGGGTCAATCGGGAGGTTTAAAACCATCAATTTTGAAGAAGTCCCCATTGTGGGAGAGATGTGGATGGTACAACTCCTCTCGTATATGGTTTGATAGGTTTATCAAAGTGGTGATTACTTATGGATACAGTCAGTGCCAAATAGATCACATCTTTTTCTTGAAAACCTAATCAAAACGTAAGAAGATCATCCTTATTGTCTATGTTGATGATATTATTATACCAGGAGATGACGAAGAAGAAATGATCAAACTAAAAAGGGTACTTGTTGTTGACTTTAAAATCAAAGACATTGGTACTCTCAAATACTTTCTGGGATGTATGGTGCTCTATCTATGGCAGAGATTGTGATCTCTCAAAAAAGTATATTTTGGAATTGTTAATCGAAATTGATTTACTTTGGTGTAAACCAAAAGAAACACCCATGGATCATAATCTAAAATTAAAGAAGAATGAAGAAAAAGTGTCAGTTAACAAAGAGCAGTGCCAAATACTAATGGACAAGCTGATCTTTCATATATAAGACTAGACATTGCATTCTCAGTATGTAGTATCAGCCCAACATATGAGTGGTCCACGAGAAAAGCATCTAAAGATTGTAAATCCAATCCTTTGATACCTAAAGATGACACTAGATCACAATAGGAGTGAAAACTGTGAGGTATACACTAATGCAAGGTGGGCTAGAGAGTTAACTAAAAGAAGAAATATAAGTGGCTATTACTTCATTGTTTGGGTTAATCTTGTTACATGAAGAATCAAAAAGCAGTGTGTAGTTTCAAGTAGTGCAGAGGCTGAGTTTTGATCACTTGGTTCAAGAATTTGTAAAGGAATATGGATTCAGAGTCTGTTAAAGGAATTAAAGGTTGACTCTAAGGATCATTTCAAGATACAAAGTGATAATCAATCAACCATAACTATTGCTAGAAGACTTGTTCATCATGACAGGACAAAGCATGTGGAGATCAATAGATACTTCATTTAAGAGAAAGTCAACAATGGGCTTGTTGAACTAAGTTACATTCCTACTCAATTACAGTTTGAGGACATTCTTACCGAAGCTCTTCCATGAACCAGCTTTGATGGATTCAAGTGCAAGTTGGATCTGTATAACATATCTCACTCGAGGATAGTAGAAAGCTGTCGGGAATATGAGTTATTTGTTCTTAAGTTTAATTTATTGTAATTTATCTGTATTATATGATTAGACTTTATCTTCTTAGGAGATAAAGAGAAGTTTTAGGAGATAAGAGTTTAGGGGAAAAAGAAAACTAGTAGGACTCTAACTTATAACTCACAACCTATTAAAACAGGTTGTGTTCTTCTGATATAGTATGATATAGATCAAGAGAATTTTCTTTTCTCTTTTCTAGAAATCTCAAATTATAATCAGAATATACACTATTTATAAAATTAAGAAAGTATAATTTAAAATATTTAGAAAATTGAAGAGGGATATTTTAGCAAATATATCAAGGTGGGGTAGGACATATGCGAATTTTACCTAAATCTGATCTTACTCTCTAGGGTCAGGGCAGGTTGTTTCTGCCATCCCTGAACTTCTATGATTAAAAAAATGGTTGAAAAAAAGGTTAAAACTTGGATTTATATTTATATTTATTTCACATCTTCCTTTTGAGGATTTAGATTTAGGAGCTACGCAAAGCGTATGCATTAACTCTGTAGAATTGGTGACCACTTTCATTTCTCATCAGCATTTGAACTTGTTTCAGTATTGTTGTCTAGAGCACATGATAGAGGGAATTATATTTTGGTGAGAAACTTTGAATTAATAAGAAAGTGACCTCATTTCATGTGAAACTTTGGATTAACTTTCTAAAATAAAAAATGGTTGTAGGTTAGTGTGGAAGGCCTGCAGACATTGAAGCCTCAGGTCGAAAGAAGCACCCTTCAAGATGCTTCACTTGCTAACGGCTTCAAAGAAAGTTTAAAGATATTTGGAGGAATTAATCTTGAAGTTCATATGGTGGTATCAGAAGATAACTTTGAGGACGAAATTGTTAACTGGGTGGTGGAGAACTTTAAATTCTCTGTCAAACAACCGGTAATCCGATGGTACTTGTGAAGAACTTGATTACAGGTAATGATGTTCAATCACTCATAATAGAGCTTTCATTCCATCTTGTAGATCGAGCCATCATAGCCAAGGATGAATTCGAGCACCTGCTTTTTTGTGCAAAGCTGAAGTTGATTCAATGGGTCGGTTAGCTGCTGGAATCTTGCGGATGCTCAAGTTCGAAAAGTCGCTTGGCAAGGATACCATAGATAAACTTGGCAACCTTGGTAAGTACGATTCAGCTAAGCTGTTATTGCATTCAGTTAAAAAGTTAACATACCACCAGATGTTCTGCATGAGTTAGAAGCTCTAACAACTTGTAGGAATCGAAGAGATATTCACACCAAAGTGCAGTCAAGGCAGCGGTTTTGGAAGTTTTGGACTATCTCCGTCATATAAATTGATGACGGAAGACCAGCGCACAACACTGGCTTTGCTTGAGGAGCTGGTTTCGGATTCACAGGCCAAGTGTGCCGCGCTTGTTACCAAATCATCTAATTCAGAATTTTTCCAGGTGAACCCTACTTATATTGAAGACTTAAGCAGAACTGGATAACATGCATGGTTTACTGCTGCAATTGCAGGGTCATATTTGAGCTCGTCGATTCTCATTCTTTATCCATCAATTGTTTGCTTTGCAATCATAGTTTACTCATTCTTTATGTGTATAGTAACATATGATAATTACATGTCCGAGTATAGAGAAAGCAATTAATGGTATAAATCCGAAATTTTGTAATTTACCCCCCAGAATCATGTTAAACAAGCATGTCTGTACTTGAAAGCAGCTCCAACGTCTCGACTTATCCTGAAATTTAGCTATGTTCATCCCAATGTTTCATTTCAGCTTTGGGATAGTACGATCCAGAAATATATTATATTTTTAGAATGAACACACGAATATTAATAATACAAAATTTGTGTATATGATAAATAAAATCTCAAAATGAACATAATCAGTTTAATAATTAACCTAGGAAAATTCAGATTTCAATGTGGACAAGTGTGTTACCACAGGGCCTTGGATGCTAGATGAATTCGTAGAATTTTACTTGAGTCACAGTTGTAAAAGCCGAACCGCATTGGCCGGTTCGGTTGATTCGGCAATTCAACCATTTAAGACTTCAAGTTGAATTAGATAATTTGTCCAAATTAAAGCCTTAGCCCTTGGGCTTCTACATGCACTTAAAAGAGCCACAAAACTTTGCTTGCACTCCATGCTTCTCACAATTCTTGCAATTTAACCATTGATTAAAAAGCTTTAAATTAGACCTTAATGATTCACGAACTTAATTCGAGTACTGAAAGTAAATTTCGATTGTCGAAAATGAAAAAAGTTACTAAACTGATTTCAAGTGTGTTATATGGGATCAATAACATTTTCAAATCATTAAAAATGGTAAAAAAAAAATACACTCTTTTTAAGAGTTGTATCCCCGCCATCGCCACATGTATAACACACTTTTTCATACTTGTACGCATTACGTTACTTCAAAACTCACACCATCAACGTACATAGTTAACATATTTGCTCTATCTATCTCTTCTTTTATGTTTTCCTCATTTTCTTAATTAATCCAATAACGATCACTTTTACACTAAGCACCACATGAGCATCATACCAAGCGAAAAACCGACAATAATACTTACTCCCATTCCCGTAAAATTTACATCCAAAAAACCTTTTACGTAGGTTCTCATTAATCCAAGCAGTGATAATTTCAGCTCAATATCCACAATGGAACATGGGTAGGCCATTCTCTCATTTTTTTTCTTCTCTGTCTTTCTATATTCTTCTTCTTCTACTGCTGCTACTACAATGTTTCAGAACAAAAAATTGCAATGATTGTAAGAATTTTTAACAAAAGAGGTTCTTTCTAATCAAATAGTCCATTCAAGTAATTTTTTAAAACCACGTGTAATTTGCCGTTAATTTTATAGTAATGTAAATGAATTCTCTAAAGAATATTTAGAATATAATCTACATGAACCAAGTGATCTTAGTGGTTAAAGGATTTGTTGTTATCCCTTAAGGTCTTGGATTCGAGCATCGTGTACTTAAGAGTATGAGCGTTTATTGTCAACGGATTGAGAATCTTTGAACAAATACTACCTCATGTTCATCCTAGATTTATCAACAAGAGAGAGAGAATATAACAATCCACACAAACTAGAATTTTTCTTTTGCTTTAAGTTATTTTCAAGTTTAATTAAAAAATATGTGTCAAAACTATACGTCTTATTTGTTTAAAGTGTCTAAAGTTTTTTTGTCAAATTAAATGTAAAACCATGCGTCTTATTTTTTTGAAGTGTCTAAAGTTTTTTTTGTCAAAGTAAATGTAATGTTTTTAAACTTATGATTTTAAAAACAATTATGTTACAACCCTTAAAAATTAGACAACTAATTAGTATTTGACATATAACTTAATTTTTAATTTTCTTCAATTTTTTAATTTAAAAAAATTAAATTCATAAATTTTTAAAGAGAAACCCTAATTTTCTTATCTTCACAAAACAGATGACAGGTTGGTGGGTATCGACATTGATGATAATAATGGATTTTAGGATTAGGGATTTAATTTTTTTTTTCTAAAAAAAATAATGATTTGAAGTTTTTTAAATAAATTTTTCAAAAATTTATAAAATGTGATGCATGTCAGTTTTGTGTGTTTCACAATTTTTTAATTATTGTGACAAAATTGACTATAAATGACATTTTTAAAAACATTTGAAACCTACTTTGACAGAAAAAGAACACTGAACACTTAAAAGTAATAATTGTATGGTTTGAAACTCTCTCTCTCTCTCTTGAATTAAGTCTTATACTAATTTAAATTATCCTAAATTTAAACTATTTCAAACTCGGGTAATTTTTATTTGTGTTTATCCAAACCCATTATTTTAGATCTTCCAACCATATTATTTTAGATTTTAAATTAATTTTGAGTGTTAAATTAAATTAAATTAAATCAAATCGAATTTAGTTTATTGTCATTTAATCTAATACAATGATGCGTGAGTCCCTTAAACAATGGAGAAAATTAGGTTACAAGAATTATTTCTTAAATATCTATATTCTCTATAATAGATTATATATATCTATAATTATGAAAAGATTATTATTTTTATTAATATGAGCAAGTAGAAAATAATATCTATTTAAAGATTTTTCTAATAATTTGATATGAACATTTATATTATATATATCTTATGTTTGAACTTGAAATTTCAATAAATAATAATAATTTTTTAATAAGTGAGATCGATTGATTCGTACATAAAAAAAATTAATTTAAATTTAAACTAATATTTTCCATTAACGAACATCATGTTCCCGTAACAGCAGAATACATCGTTTTCAGTTTGTTCTGTTCTGTTCCGTTTTAGTTCATGTCGCGTACTTAAAACTTTCCATGATATCAAAGCACTTTTCAATCTACAATCAAACCGCCAATGTCACCATTTCATCTATGTTCAACAAAATATCATCGTACAGCGATAAAAACACTTGGGAAACTTGTTTTTCTCACCTTCTTTCCTTGTCAATCTTCGCATTCATTCAATTTGAGAGAGGAAAGATGAAATATTTCACTTTTAGTTTCTCTTTTTCTCAAATGGGTTTTCACTTTGTTTGCTGTTTTCGGTGTTGCATGTGGATGCGTGTATAAAAAGAGTGGGTGGCAATTGATTTTTAGTTTCATTTCTGTGGTTAAATTGTTGCAGTTTTTTTTCTCGTTTTAAGAGTAAGTTTTGTAGCAATAAATGAGTTGATGAAAGCAGTTTCCAGATTAGATTCATGGTGGGTTCATATTTTTATGTATGTTATAGTCAATATATTGGGATAATAAAACTGCTAAATTAATACCTATTCATTTTGTGAGAATTTCTGAGAAAAATGAAACTCTGAAGATTAGATTATGTTTTGTGATGGATAGTTTTAAACGAGTTAATTGTGGAAATTGGTGTAATTTTTTGTGTTTTATTTTGGCCTTTTACTTTAGCATTTTTGTCTGATATAATAAATTTATACTGTTTGAAGTTCATGGGAATTTCGAATGGAAATTTTAGATTTTGACAATCTGCATAGGTTTTTTACATAGATGGATATGGAGAATGGTTTTCTTCTTCTTAGGTATCTATTTTGTATTCTGATCAATTGCAATTAAGATGAAAGTTTAAAATCTGATGCCATTACTATGTTTCTCCGACTCTTCATTTTTGTCGAAGCCTCCATTTCGGACATATTGGTCAGATATAGGTTGGGATTTGACCTTTAAATACATGGAAAACTTGGGAAAAAATATAATTTGAGTGTATCCATGTTAGATCCATCGAATCTGACACTCACTCCCGAGCCCGAATTACATAGTATGCTTATGCCAGAATTTAGATGGGGTTTACAATGAAGAATGTGCTAGATCAGACTAGGAGATATTCATATTGCTTTGTTAATGCCAAAAACGAGTAGATTGGTGTCAAACAAAAAATATACTTATAAATTTCTGTTTCAGCTTGTCTAGATTTAGAAAAGAAGTAATTTTGCCTATTTATCACTAAAAGCATATGAAAAATTGACTAGGTAGTACCTTAATCTTGCCCATACCAACTACAGTGTTTGCTGTACCAACTACAGTGTGCCTAATTGCTTACTTTGTCATTAGATAAATTTTCGTTGCACGAGTGTACACCGGACTGCATATATATTTTGGTTGAATGTAGCTGATAAAATGCAAATAGTGTTCCTGGCTAGTTGTACATAATAATGCAGATAATGGCACCCAGAATAGTTAAGATGGCTAATAGTGTTATGCATTGTAATATAGAATAGTCCAGAACTATGATTCATACACACCCGCAGCCTCAGTGAGGAAGCTGGTTTGAGATTTAAAAAAAAAAGGAAAAAGGGTTTTCTTTATGTCAATTGTTGTTTCTTTGGAAAATATTCTTAAAAAGGCTATAAAGAAAGATCTGAAGTTTGAAAGACACTATTTGAGGTATTATTCGCAGCTTGTTTCATTTTTTACAAGAGTCAAGTCCATACTCTTTTCAGATGATTTTCCATATCCCAAACTGGAGAATCCTCTCTATTTTCTCGTTTGTTTCTCTACCAATTAAGCATGGCTTTGAAGAGATTAATTGTCTCACAGACTTGAATAGACCTTAATTTAGATGATTGCGATACGTGGGAAAGTCGTTGGTTAAATTATCCTCTTCATAGATGCTTCCAAAACTATTCATGTTGATTGAGTTGTCATTTGCCAGCAATAGCATATATTTGGTTGTCAGTTTCTAGAAATGGCATGCCCTTTAGTACGTGTTGAACTTGTTAAAAGTTGGCAGCATTAGTCAACATAATGGTGGTAAATTGGCAGGGCGGTTAAATTGGTCAAATATTGGCCATCAAATTGTTGAAAAAGCTAAATGGAATAATCACAATTTAGTCATTGAACTTAGGGTATTTACAAATTAGTCCTTAAAGCTTCAACTATAAATACCCTAGCTCATTTAGCTTCAAAATCATCCCAAATCATTCTAGCTTTCTTCCAATACTAGAGAGAATTTAGAGAGTTTCTTGAGAGTTGTTTTCTCCTTTTTATCAAAAGAGAATTATCATTGTTTTCTCCTTGGTAGATCGAGAGAGGTTGTAATTCCTATTTTCTCATAGTGAAATTCTTCTACCGTTGCCTGTGGTTTTTTACCCTATATTATTTAGGGGTTTTCCACGTAAATTTTATTTTTCTTTTTCTCTATTTTTTATTTTCTCAAATTATCAGTTGCGATTTTGCTCTATCCGATAGCCGTCTTCCGCAACAATTGGTATCCGAGCCAGATTTGAGTGTGTAATATC